GTAATGTTGGTCCTTTGTATAGGACATCATTCAACGAGAGTTGTCCTACTCTTTTTGCGCTTGCGTCCAAAACTATTCTTACTTTCGTGGTATTGCTGCTTGGTTTAAGCACTGCTTGATGCGGTATATAGTATAAAGGGCAGTCTTTCGATTGAGATTTTGACGGAACGTCTTCTACGATTTTTTTGCGAAGCTGTTCCTCTATTATTTTGCAATATTTTTCCCATAAATCTTTCTTAGACGACAGTGAATTATAGAGTTGCATCAATCTACTGAAGGCAATTTTGTAATTATTGTCTAACTCCATCTTGTTTGATTTCCAAGGAAATTTTACGTAAATTTCTTTATTACGTATTTCGATGGTATCGTAAAATTCCTTCAGAATTTTCTCATTTTCTTCGGTTTCCGATATAGTATCCGTAATTCCCACGTTTTCTAGGTTCCACATTGCTGAAAAATCAGGCAATGTTTCTTCGTAAAATGATGTTGATGAGTTGAAACTCATTACTGTTTCCGAAATTGTGTTTCCATCTAGTCCCGTGATTGCGTGTCCGAAAATAGTTGGGACTGCGTATAGTCCGGATGGTAATTGAATGGGTGTTGCTGAGATATCTAAGATTTCGTTGTAGTAGTCGATACCTACAAGTACTTCCGGTAATGTTTCGATATCCATGTCATTCAGAATGCCGCTTTCAATATTTTTCTCAGAGGCATATTTGATATCTTCGCTTGATAATCGTGCTAGAACGACTGGCTCTGTGATGGGCTCGGACGTTAAAAGATGCATCGAGAGGTGTTCGCTGTTGCTTATTATTGCCTGTGCGAGTACTTCCCTAGAGGTTTTCCTTACTCGATTACCTCCGAAAGTTGATAATACGTAGGATGCATCTTTCACCGTTGCGAGTTGGAGTCGATTCGCTAGATTTTCCGATATGAAGCTTCTGGTAGCTCCCGTATCCAAAAGTGCATACACTTTTTCGATATTTCGGGTTTCATTATTTCTCAGGGGGAGCATTATAATCATTAGACGTGGATCAGTCCAATTGTTGGCGATGGTTCTAATTTTGTTGATCTGTACGAGTTCTTCGTCTTCTTCTTCTGAACTGCTTACGGATTCGTCTGTGATTATATTAGTTGTATGAGCCAAAATTGACTCCCGTGAATTTTTCCGATAACGGTAAGGAGTTGGCGAGCGTGTCCGACTACGATATCGATGTCTGCTCGAATAAGCAGGAGGCGATCGGGAGCGTGAATTTGAACGAAACCTGAAATTTCGTTCCGAGGAGTGTGATCTACTCCTGTTAAAGCTGTTTCTCCTATCTGCTTGATAAGGATTTACGCTTTGGTTTCGATAATTGACATCCTTTTCCTGATTGTCAAAGTTATTACATATTGCTATATTGTGAGGTTCTCCACAGTTACGACAGTTCGATTTTTTACATTGACTGCTGAGATGTTGCGTTGAAAAGCACTTAAAACATTTACCCATTTCTACGATACGTTGACGCCTAGCCTGGACTGTTCTGAATCTATTACAGAATTTAAGCTTGTGTGCACCTTCGCAAGCTGCACATCTGTATTGTGCAACTTTTCGTGGTTTCGTAAGCAATACTGTAGATTTTGTTGGTACTGCGGAGCTAGTGCATGTATGAATTTGCGTAAGTTCGCATTTCTTCACAACTTTGCGAAGTTGTTCCATTGTCTAGGTTTTGTCTTCATCATATTCTTTCGAAAGAAGCGTACTTTGAACTGCTTCGGGAAACTTTTGCAGTACTTTACTTTTGTATTCGCGTGCGTCTATGTGTGTTTCCGCGCGTGATAATGGGACGATAATTGCCATTAAATCATTCAGAGTTGTGCGTAGTTGCGTTGCGTCATTCGATGACGTTGGAATACTATCCAACTGTTGCAGAAGAAGTTTTACGTTCAATTCGTTGTTTTGGAATTGTTCTTTGAGTTGGAGTACGGCGTTCTTGTATGGCGAACCTTTACGAGGTAAGTATTTCAGCGCTCTTGCTGCCTCTCCCTTGCATTTATCGAGCAGTATTGTGAGCTTTTCGATGTCGGAATAAGGCTGTTTGTCTACTAGTTCCGCAAAAATCTCCCAAAACTGTTCGAATTCCATGGGGTTTCCGAAGAATTCCGGTATTCTAAGTTCTTTTCTATACCAGTGCGCCGGGATTTGGCTAGATCTTGGTTGAGGTATATCAGATTGCGAAATAAATGTGTTTGGAGTTACGAACTGCGTGACATGGGTTTCGTTTGCGCGCTGCTTTTCAATTTCTTCGAATTCGTCTGCACAAGCTAATTGCATTTCTTGTACGCTTAGTTCCACCATTCTCATCTCTAAGTTTTGTACCATCTCACGAGCCGCTTCTAAGGTGTTTTCGCCGTCTTTTTCAACCCAGTACGCATCAAAACCTTCCTTAGTTTCTACTACCCTTGCGTTGTCCGAATCTGAGCTGGAGAGGTTTTCCATTGTGTCTCCATAGATTTGCATTACGGTATCGATTTTCGACTCAAGTTTTGCTATAGTGGTTTGAATAACTGAGCGTTGCGTACGAGTAAATACGTATAGCTCTTTACGAACTTTGGGAAACTGCCAGCCCTCTTTGTATTTGCTGCAGTCCTCTACTAACCGAAGAATGTCATTGAGATGTCTGCTAAGTTGTTGCTTAGCAGTGACAAGCGTACGATTTGTTCGCGACATGAAATGAAAATGTGATAGCTGTTAAACGCTTGAAGGAAATGAGGTGAAACACGTTCAGTTCCCCTTAAGAATTGTTTCGTTGTAAAGTGTTCATGCCTTTATGCTAGATGTACTACTGATAAAAGTATGGTTGTCTGGGAAAGTTGCAATATGGTTGTCTGGGAAAGTTACGGTATGGTTGTCTGGGAAAGTTGCGATATCAATGTTGACATTCCCCAAGTCTTCTGAGCTTGGGAACATTGAATTCTTAGACAGCTTATCTTATATCTATCAAAACTTTACATCAGAAAAATGCGGTGAGTCAGAGGCAGATAGCTTTGACCTCCCCTTTTCGAACCGGTTCCTTCTTCGCTTTGTTCTCCGGGCCGCTCCCGGAACTGAAAATGCTCTCGGCACTCCTCCAAAAGCAGATGCGAGTGTCAAACGACCCCTCGGCTGGACTCTGGGGTCCAGCAACCCCTTGAAACATTGACGATTTTCGAATTTACGAATGAAGGAGACTTAAAGTATAGATTGTGGGTGATTCGATGGGCCGGCCGATGCACCATGTTCACATCCTCACAATCATTTATTGTCCAAATATCATAGCAACATATCAACTAACAAAGTCTAATATGCAAACAAGCACAATTCAAAGAGGCATAAGCAAAACCCTGAAAAGTCCCCTGACCATGCATGAAGTCATGGCTTTTATAAGAACTGTGGCTCCGCCCCTTCTTTATCGCTTCTCGCGACAACTTGCGACAGCTTGAAAATGGTTAGTGTGATGCTGATCTATTCAAAATATTAGTCTGTTTCATCACTTGTAGTCGCTCAAAACCATTCAAATTTTGATGATTTGAACGGCCACAACTTCCTTCCAAAAATTGCATTCTGTGGTAATAGGCCACTTCGACTCCGCAACCCTCCTTTGTAAGTAAAAAAACCAAGAAATAGAGAGCTCGAAAAAGCTTCGGAAGGCTCCGTCTTTTTACACGCACTTCACAAAATGCTTCCCTTTCGCGTTCGTAAACATTAACATTGAGTTTGTGGAAAGCGGAAGTGGGGGAACTATAAACTGACTTTTTAGTAGGTAGTTTTGAAAATTTCTTCCGTTTTTTTTTGACATGTCATAAAACACGTGAAATACAGATAGGCAAAACTAAAAAATAATCGATGCAGTTTCTCTTCCTCTTTCCAACAGTCATGATTACAAAATGTATGCTTTCATGATCATCGAAATAATCGCCAAAATGAAACTCATGGTTTTTACCAGGCCCGTTGGCAATTTTGCAAATTTTCTATTTCGATCTTTAAGAAAAGTTTTTATAAGGGACGCTCCCTCCCTCCTCAAATAAGTCGCGAAATCTTTGAAAGTCCCTTGCATGGGTTATAGAAATGCGCAGTGTCTTGTTTATATTTGCAATTAATCTTAAAAAATTTTGATACTTTTTAAAAATTCATTTTAGCTTTATAAGAAATTTTCGGCGGTGGGGGGGGGGGGGGGGAGAGAGGAAGGGGGTGGCTTCCACGGTTTGCAAAAATAACCTCAAGATGGATCTTGATTGTTTCAGCATTTTTTGTGCCATACCTGAAATCATTGCCAAACTAAGCAAAGATGAAAAAGTATTCGATATTTCGCCCGGATATTGCCCTTTAATCCTCTAACAGAAGGAAGGAATTGCGTTATGTGTGAATGATCCGCACAAAACTCGATGTATGTAGGACGCAACGCTCTGCACATTGTTAGTTTACGAAGTTTTTCTTCCTTTCATTACCCTCCTGATACTTGACCACTCTAATAGCAACTGAGTTCTACCGAATCTCTGAAAGATCCCCAATCTGGGTTCCTATATAATGTCACAAGCGTGTGTGTAGTTCTTCATCAAATTTAGAAGGTTTTTTGTATGCTTGGAATCTGAACTGCAGCAATTGGTTCGAGAACATCACTATGTTAGACATCTAATCAATAAAGTTTCATGCAGATATGAAAAAGGAAAAATTAGCATTTTGTATTCTCAAGCAATGCATGGCCTATCTTTAGCTACTGAAGTTTCCTTAATGGACATGAGATATTTTGTACTGAATAGCTTAAGCGTTGCCAACATGAAGGAGATGATTTAAAACAAATCTATCAGAATGGCATATGCTTTTTTCAAGCTGAAGTGAGATGACATAATGGAATACATAATTCAAAATACATTGCATTACAACAAGACACAACAGGTTGTGAGAGTGTGATATTTGAACTATTATCGACAAAAATGTTTTTTTATAAAAGCCATTGCCACAGCTCAGCTCAGCAGTTCACCTTTCGACTTCATTGTAGTCTTTGGTGCAGTTTTGATCACCTGATTTCAGATAACTAAGTGCTTCGACGAACAATGCTTGCTTGGCAATTTTTTGTAGCGGTAACTCATCTTACTGACTTGTGATTAAAAAGTGACGCGCGACAATTTCAGGCTGTGTTGGCTCTCGTATCGAATGTCTTTACCTTACCGAGATACCCAGGGGGAGTGGCAATATTTCCAAGATTAAAGCGACCGGGAGTGTTCGGTCAACAAAACTCTAATTTTCCGAAGGGTCCATGGATACCCCGCTAACAACCACGTTAGAAATTCATCGCCTCAATGAGCTCAATCATTGATAGTAAATTCTTATTGTAGTGTCTTCGAACATCAAGGAATATGTAAGTGTTAGCAATCACGTAACAGGAGTTGTGGCGCTATACGATGATTTAGGTGAGAAGACAGTTTGCTAGATCATCTTGGTAGTGGAAGAATATTCGCTATGGTTAGAAAAATCATGTGGTCCATGAATCCGCTAAGGATGCGTCAAAAGGTTTAGGTCTAACCTCCCGGTAAATCGATTTCAAGCGAGAAATTGAGATATCGAAGTCTTAGTGACATAAGATGGTCCATAACACCATTTAGTGAGCAAATTTACGCGAATTATGGTTCCGTAGCGCTGTATTTTTTTTTTGAACATAATGAATGAGAGGCAGCTTCTAGCATACATCACTATCATTTCGGTGGTGAAAATCTTTACCAGAAAAGCTCGAGAGTTATAATCATTGCAGAAAACACGAACTTTCAAATTTCTTTTCATAAGCTTGAGTGCAAGTAATAAAAAGTAGCTCCTCAGAAACTTATCGAAAAAACTTCGCAAGCATGATTCAAACGATGACGAAGAAGAAGAAACTGTAAGGTAATGATACTGAATGAGATGACCTTCCAATTTCCAAGAAAATGCACTCAATGTGATTACATCTGCAACGAAAGAAAAGGATTGTCAGAACATAGAGTTTGATCATAAGAAAATTGCGCTAAATTAGACAAAAGAAGTCTAAGTAGTTGCGAAGCGTTGCTTGAATCAAGAAACAGAAGTATTGATGGTCGAGACTCAATAAAAATGAGATTAAAGGCAGTTTAAAATATAATAGGATGGAACATTAACCGTGTCAAAACCCGAAAATCCATGAGTTCCCAGATTCAGCGATCTTTTTGATATGATCATTAAGTGATATATTATATCATCTACTATAATAATTCGCAGGCCCCCCCATCAAGTGTAAACATGTGGCTATGTCCGGCGATGACGTCACCAGTGACATCGTCACTGCCGGCGAGCATGTTTACAACCCCTTAAGGTTCAGAGAGCACCAGACAGTTCTGGAACTTTCTTTGAAAGGTCAATTCCACAAAAAGTCGAAAACAAAAGAATTCGTCGCAATTCAATCCATTGAACGATTCGCTATCGCCGGCGGGCATGTTTACAACCTCTTAGGGTTCAGAGAGCGCCAGACAGTTCTGGAACTTTCTTTGAAAGGTCAATTTCACGAAAAAGTCAAAAACAAAAGAACTCAGACGTCGCAAAGCCAAATAAGCAACCTTTTGCCTCCAAAACTGTGCATCACATAGACACCACCTTGCATTACGTATGCTTCTCTTCTTTACGCTTAATTCATTGCTCCAGCAGTGTCTTCATGTCAAAATGGTAAAACAATTTAGGGGATTAATAGCTATCTCAAGAACTGCTGGCTTTGCTTTCAAGCCTTCTTCGTTCTTATATCGTTACCTTCAAATATTGTTTCCAAGTCAAATTCGTTGTTGCACAAAAATGCAGAAATTGTTTTGATCTTCTAAAATCTATCGACCTTGCTGCACTCTGAGATCTGTTTAGTTTCAATCATTGTCTCAGCTCTAAACACTGTTTCCGTGTCAAAGGCGTCGCATAAGACTATATCGTAACCTAACAAATCGCTGCATTCTGACTTTTTCTCCAGTCTTAATTTTAGCACTGTAAGATGCACTTTCATCTATCACAAAAAAAAATTAAAAACGCTACAGAGTTGCCGGCGCTATTCCAGTATCCGGGCCCCAAAATTTTTTTGTCGTGAATTCTGTCGAAACTTGGCCCAGGGGGGTTATTCGGCCCGCTGATGTCGAATATCATATTGGTTTTGTACGGTAGCGTCATTTTCTCGGGCTACGGTGGGTTTACGGTAGGGGGTCAAAATCACGGAATTCGCTGAAACTTGGCCCAGGGGGGTTATCTGACATGCTGATCACGAATATCATATTTTCTCCGCAAGAAATCGCCTCCCTGTAAGGTTACGGTGGGTATACGGTAGGGGCCAAAATCACGGATTTTGCTGAAACTTGGCCAAGGGGGGTTATTTGGCCAGCTGATGCCAAATATCACATTGGTTTTGAACCATAGCGTCATGTTCTCGAGTTACGGTAGCTACACTGTAACGGGTGTAATAGTTTTGCCTGAAGCGGGTGTATGGCGATTCGGACAATCGTGAAGCTTTGCACACACGACCACCGCCGCGCGCTACACACTCTGCTGCGGCTTCTGCCTAAGCAAAGCACAGGGGAAATATACATTTGCCGATTTGTGATTTTGACCCCTACCATATACCCACCGTAACCCGAGAAAATGACGCTACCGTACAAAACCAATATGATTTCGGTATCAGCGGGTCGAATAACCCCCCCCCCCCCCTGGCCAAGTTTTAGCGAATTCCGTGATTTTTACCCCCTACCGTATACCCACCGTAACCCGAGAAAATGACGCTACCGTACAAAACCAATATGATATTCGGCATCAGCGGGTCGAATAAACCCCCTGGGCCAAGTTTCGACAGAATCCACGACAAAAAAATTTTGGGGCCCGGATACTGGAATAGCGCCGAGTTTGCCTATTTCAACGAGTTTCGTTCTTTCAACAATCTAATCCATATATGAACGATTCACTACTGCCGGTGAGCATGTTCACCAGACAGCTCTGGAACTTTCTTTGGAAAGTCAATTTCACAAAAAAAGTCAAAAACAAAAGAATTTGTCGCAATTCAGTCCATATAAGTCACTACTGCTGGGGGCAAGCCAACCCTTAGGATTCAGAGAGCACTAGCCACTTCTGGAACTTTCCTTGAAAAGTCAATTTCACAAAAAAGTCGAAAACAAAAGAATTCAGATGTCGCAAAGCCAAATAAGTAACCTTTTGCCTCAAAAACTGCATCACATAGACACCACCTTGCATTACGTATGCTTCGGTCGTTATTCATGTCAGTTTCACTTCATTCATCAACCGTACTCATTGCTTCAGAGCATCATGAGATAGTCTACGGAGAAAACTGAGTGATGATCATCAGTACGTTCTTACATATGAATTTGAGCAAACATCTCTTTGACGGCTGCATATGCTTTTTTAAATGCATAAACCGTAAGCTTTATAGAAATTTGTGTCAAAACAGTAGATTAAACCATCAACATTAGTAGATGAAATCATAGTTTTGTTTGACGAAAAAACTCGGCCTATGATTATCAGCAAACATTTTCTGGATATGTGTCTAATCATTCGAGAATTTGCTATGTAAAAAAAGTTGAGAGCAATTTAAGAAACAAGGATATCTCTATCATCTCTATAGCAGAGTCCCATAATTTCTGGATAACTTTTGTTGCTTGCGCAGTTAGTATGTATGCTGGATTTCATTGAACGTCTGTCAAAAACTCCTAGTTCGTGTTCATTTCCGGACTATCTGTACACAGCATTTTGTCTAGCCAAGAGATTTATACGAAGCACGATGAAAAATTTTGAATGTGTTGTAAAAAATTTTTGCTTCGCGGTATCGCAGTATGTGTAGTTATTGACTATTAACCTTGCATATGCATATACTCATCGATCTCACTCTTATCTTCAAATGTTACGAGTTACGTATCATGTACTCCATTCCGTTACTAGGCACTGAATTTGCATAGTCTAGCGATAGTCGATTATTCATGAATTTTGCTTTGATTATGTTGTAAATTCAAGGTATTTTTACATGAGCGATTGTGCAAATTTTGCAAAAGAGAGTGGTCTTATAGTTTACAAAGTAGATCAAACTACAAATTTTGACTCCAAAGTTGCTGCTCTAGTAATAATCGATTCACGGGTGTAACCTCTAAGAAAAAACCTCATTTCTCAAAAACTTTGCCGGTCAGGTTAATCTATATCAAATTAGCATGAACCGTACGTATGTCGTCGGACATTGTCTGAATAATGCTGGATAAGTTGAAATTTGGAATACAGCTGAAAGCGCCAGGATGATTACCAGACGATCCATGTGTAAACAACTACTCTTAAAAGCTTCTAGAGACGGTATGATGGTTGTGAGCACAAAAGTACAGTCTAGAATACATGTTGACTGAATAGTCTCTCTTCACATTACTCCACTTAGACTTCCAATCCATCGACACACTCGATCTCAAATTTGTTAGTATCTTCTACCAATTTGACACTTTTTCCAGTTGCTCTGTCATTAACGCGCACCATTCCATGTAATCTCGCTTTCAAAATAACATTCATTTTAGCAAATATATGCCTAAATTCTGAGTGCCATAGCCGCCTTAATTTTGCCTTCAGAATAACATCTTCAAATGTATGGGTGGCTAAGGTTTTGAGTGCTATAGTCGTGTTTTGATCCTTGCTTTATGAGCCAAATTTGTGCAAAAAATCCTTTTCGTAAAAAAATCTCTGGACACTTCAGCTGAACTTTTGAGCCTCTTTCTTGCTCTCTTTAACCTTATTAAGCTATCGCTTTGAACTCCCATTTGCAAAATGGTTCTCATTGTTGCATTCACCATGTGTAAAGTTTTTTCGCCGTATGCTTCAATCCATACTCTTCGAACAATTACAACCTTTTGTATAGCTTCTTCAGAGCCGCTATTTTTAGAAGAAAGAATTAGAGCAACTATGCCTTATTACTTAAATTACTCACCAACAAAACTGATCAAATGGAATAGTTATTAGGAATTTCGAAAATCAAAGTAGTAAAATCATCTATAGAATTATACTTAAATTACCTATCACCAACAAAACTGATCAACTGGAATAGTCATTAGGATTTTCGAAAATCAAAGTAGTAAAATCATCTATAGAATTATAAACCAGTAAACTCATGCTATCCATAATTAGCGACCAATATGTCATATGTATCCGATGCCCTCAAATACAATGCTTTAAGAAGTCACAGCCCCTGATGAAGTAAAGAGGAATAGATCTCCTTCCCTCTTGAAAATCAAAGTCTGTTGATGACGTAGGTTTTTTGGGGCCAACCCAGTTCCGGTATGGCTATATCAGTCTAAAGAGTTCTTTCATAAAAAAAAACTTTCACCTTCGCTT